TATATTATTATATTATTATCATTATTATTATTATTTTATTATTATTATTATTATTATTATTATTATTATTATTATTATTATTATTATTATTATTATTATTATTTTTATTTTTATTTTTATTACTATTACTATTACACATGTTTTGATTTCGAACTTACACTTACCTCAGAGAACAGCACTGAAAAAAATTATAGTTCCAATCACTTTCATAAAAATGATACACGAATTAATCATATCGTTGACTGTGCTATTGATTATCCTACCACACTCGGAACTTGCACTTAATTAAAATTTTTTTCATTCATTGGAAGAGTAAGTTTAATAACTGCATTAGTGCAAGAACTATTGTTATGTTAAAAATGTTTTTAGTTATTCTCCACATCGTCACTGATTGTTTATTTTATGTTTGATAAATCAGTTTGTTTTCTCATTCCCACCTATTTTGATAACTTCACACCCACACACATATATACATTCTGGTTGACATTCCAGCGATTTTAATTTTTCATTTTATTAAACCGACCGTGTTTGGAAATTAATTGCATGTGCATTTTTTGATAGCATATGATAAATCAATTTATTTTGGATGTACTCAATTCACCAAACCACTGAACTATAAACTACTGATCTTGTATCAGTTAATTCATCTAATCCACCACGATAGGTCTTTTAAGTTGATCCGTGAATACATCAATCGATTAAAAGACTGCCGTTATTGAACTGTTTATAATACAGAAGTGTCAGTAATTGCGTCCGGATTGCCTACGCAAATCACTCGTGCCAAAGCTGTGTGGTACAGTTGGTGCACTAGTGAGGTCAAGATTCGAACGAATATGAAATCAGAGTTTGAGTTCAAGTAAGAAGTAGGGTCGGAGTTCGAAGATGTTTAGCACGTGCTAGCAAAAAAGAATTGTACTCAAAAATCTGTTAAGCGTGTTTTTTGTTTTTTCTTGGCGTGGTCAAGCGAACCATCCAGGATGACCATTATCAGAAATGACCATTATCAAAACGGCAAGTACATTAAAACAAGCGACGGCAAGTACATTAAAACAAGCGACGATAATTCTGTAAATAAGTACAAGGATTGGGCTGTAGTTTAACATAGCTGCATTGCAAAACATGGAAGTTGAATGTGATACGTTGGATATCACTTCGCATGTACTATCATTGATTCAACTTTGTATCACTTGGCATCTATCACTTCCGGTGTTTTGCAATGATGCCACTTCTACTAGTTCATAAACTAATCGTTGCAGGTACAAAAAAAACAAACAGTATTAAAACATTCTACAAATGTTCAAAGCTGAACTGAAATATAAATAAATAAAATGAAGTATTTCTTAAGTATCGCTTTATTCTTATGTGGTGACGGTACCATTTAGATTGTACGTATCATGTGTAGGATGACGTGATGTTTTCTGTAAAATAAATAAAGTTAGATAGGTATGTATCATTACTGGGGCACAGACAAAAGCAGAATTCTAATGGCTAAACTTACTATTCCTTCAATGTCAGATATTGTTTGTAATCGTAGAAATATTCGAAGGAATAATGTTAGAAGACTCTGAACACATAAGAAGCTTAGAAATGCATCGAGGAATGATGATTTCGACCAATTCAAACAGTGTATGTTCAGAGGTTTCTAACTCATAGGATAAGTAAAAAACCAATATGGTTAACCATCAAACCATTACTATTAAAACGAGGGGAGCGCTCGTAATTCAGCGCCCGACGTAAAAATCTTGCAGTATATCTTGGCCAGGTATTTTGTTCATTAGTAGCTATTCTATAAATTATATTGATTATTTCTAACCCAACACTAAATCAATCCTCTTTCTTTCCCGATTACACTTCGTAATGACCATCACAGTTCTAACAGTTAATGTTACGGTTATGCAAAACTCTTTCACATATCTAACAAAAGTTTGATTAACAGTGGTACAGTAGCCGATTTTATAAACAAGTAAGTCAACCAGGATTATCTAAAACGTATTACTATTAGACCTATAAGGACACTTGTCATCCAACATCGAAGATATTGCATGTCCATTACATAATTTTCTATCCTTAATACTACTATAGCAATAATTTCCCGCAATATATTCATCTCTGTCGCATTCGACGTTATCACTTACTTACTGTAGATTTATAACTGCTTCGTTTTTACGTAACTAGTGATTATTTGTATCATTGTAGTGAAATATGATAATGAACGTACCATTTATTGTTCTTACAGTATGGGAGACATTCATCCGACGATATCGTCATGCGCATGATATATTTGAAAATGAGTTTAAAATATTCGAAATTAATCATTTCAAGCTTTTAGGCATTTTTCAATTATTTTCTATAATCAAAATCGAGCTAAGCTGCTGTGGAGGTGAGGCGGGTGAAGGTGTTGTCGAGGAATTTTCAACGGAGTGCACCCTTAAAGTTAATAATATGCCCTCATTTGGAACTGTGACTAATGGCAACACTGGAACGTACGGATCCGGTTCTGCTATGTCAGCAGCAAATACTTTCTTGCTTAACAACAACAGTTTGTGGTTACATTGCATTCAGTCAACCTTGGCTAGTCAATTTACCGTTTCACCTCGCTATCCGTTTCTGGAATGGGTGTTACAACTGCAACGAATAAACCAACAAGAAAAACTATATCAACAACTTAATCAGCAACAAGAACAAGAAACATTACTACACCAACTTAATCAGCAACGAGAACAAAGACCCAGAAACACTCACGTAAGCGGAGTTTTTTGAATTTTCAAAATTTGTTGAATAGAATCGATTATGAAAGATTAAGAAGACAACAAAGCTAGTATTCTATTTATACATCTGTTTTGTTCCGAAAGCTTATAAAAAAAGTGCCAATAAAAAAAAAGCTGGTTACTAATTTCTCTGAATGAATGAGTTAGTTTTCTTCCCATTCTATCATTCTATCCCTTCATCAATCAAGAACTGATTCTTAATTCTACTAAGACAATACTAATGTTCTTATCAACCAAGAAAGAAAGAATTCTTTCTTTCAGGTTTATTTAAAATTTAGAAAATCTTTTCTCAGGTTTGTAAGTTATGCAACAAGGAAGTACACAGTTCGAAGTTACCTTGTCATGTGCGAATGGTCCATTTGAATGTGCCATTGTATTTCTGTAGAAAATGCGATAGAAGCTCAACTTATTCAAAGAATAACATCAAAACTCATATGATTAGAAAACATGGAATAACGAATGTTTGTTCCGCTTCATTTTATACTTTCTAAGCATTCCCATTAATATCAATATTGATTCCTTAGTTTTCTTTCTTTTCATACTTCAGTGTAATCAAATTTCTTATTAATACTTTCATCCGATTGAATTTCCTTTCTTTCTAGCAAACTTTCAATTTCAAAAACTATTCATACAATCTGTTAGCACAACTTATAAAAACCAAAGCCAGTATATAAAGACAATATCTATCTTTTTCAGCATGCACCAATTGATCATGCATATTTGCATGCCGCAAATGTGAAAATTTTAATGAAGCTATGTTTTCCAAGCGTTAAAAGTCGAAGCGCTTGAAAGAGTTACCCACAACGAGTCCCACTGAATCGAACGACAACGATTAGTTCTCCAAACAGAAAGAGAGAAGGTCATTATTATAATGCTCGTATTCAGGACCTAGAGAGACCTATTTCGTACTTCAAACATCTAACAAAGGAAGCGGTCGAAAAACGTTTCAAATAAAATGTGCTAAACGAATCAGACCCAAAAGTGTGACTTCTTTTTTTTTTCCATCAACGGATCTTTATGTCAGTAAAAACCGAAATACTTTTTATATAAAAATAAAGTTGATATTGTATAGATATGTAGTACAAATCATGTTGTAAGGTGTCGCAAATCAACCCATGTTGACTATCATGTTTGAGGTCAGTGTTAACATGTTGTAAAGGATCTCAGGTCAATGTAGGCTATTGTAAAGAACTTCAGGTCATAAAAGGGGTCATTGATTTTTACTTCTTGGATTGTTGTAAATAAACTTTCACTATGTAAAGGATTACACATAAATCATTCCACAGCAAAGTCGTTCTACAAGTTCAGGAATTTCTGCAATCCAGTTGTCCTTTGTAACGTATAATATTTCTCCGTCTATCAATAAACCGTCGTCAATCAACATTCGACTGTGTCTACACATAATATTTCAAAAACTTTCACAACACTTCGATCCACCGTACATATGAGGAAGGGAATGAAGATGCCACTCTGAACTTTGTTCATAGATCACAGAGCTCCTAGTAGCCAATCCAAATATTACTTTGAAAAAGAGGTCATTTCTCTTTTAAGTTTTTTTGAAATTCTAAATTTTTCAAATTACTGAACTGTATAGCAGATGAAATTTTCAAGCATAAATTCTAAACAGTATCTTATAAGGAAATAATGTTGTGTGCATATGATTAAAACTAATTAATTAAAATGTCATTCATTATTTGCAATAATTTTTTAATGGTCGCAAACTAACCGCAGAAGCTTAGCGATATTTTGAGTCAAAGTTCGCTATATCATGACATCTTCCGAATAATTCATTCATTTATTCTCTGCTGACAGATGACAAATATTTCGTTTTCACCACGCATTATCGACTGATTTCATACATTGCAGGATGATTTAATGATAATTCGAAATGAAGAGTTTCAAATCACTAACACAAATATCATTCATTATCTGAATAACTCTTATCACCACATAGATGATTCAGTGATAGTTCGAGATACGCTTATGAAGAATCTCAAATTACTGTTAGCACTTACCTCAAATCATTGATTTCAAATCACTGTTAGCACTTATCTGTCTCAGTCTCAAATCACTATTAGCACTTACCTGTCTTCATTCATAGTCCTTCTTTGTGATTCCCAAACTCATAAAGGTGATGTTGAATAAGTATGTGTTGTATTACATGCTGTAAAGTTATAATCGTATTCTCTCTGGGTGTATTTTTTGTCTTAAGCTGATGAATTAAAGATCAAGCAGAACAAAATTTCAACAAGAAATTTGACGAGAATGAGAATAATAAGCAATATGGTCAGCGATTGCACTGGTCAGTTAGTGATGTTAAGGTTTATTATCACCATTCCTTTTAAATTACAATGCTTAAAAGATTATCGATAATCAACAAATCACTGGCGAAAGCAATATGCTATGCGATACGATAACCTCGTTAATCCATCTTATTATTAATTAATCAGCTAATGAGTTGATAAATCAACTAGTGATAATTAATGATCATTCCGTGCTACTAACAATTAGTGATTGCTTCATGCTGGTGATAGTTGATAATTATTCTAAATACTTATTTTAAGTGCAACTTAAAAATTCCTTGTGATCTTTCTTCCATTCTACATTGATTAAGAAAGGGAATCTTTGACAGTTCCTCTAAGTTTCAATGTTTTTCTTTTTCTTTTGTCATAATTAAGGAATGGTATTATTATATTCATATTTAAGCAAGGAATAATTGTTATTAATCAGTTATGACCATTGTATGTTTCTATTTGGATAATTTTTTATTTGGTTTTCTTCTTATTTATTGATAGTCGATTAATTTCAATGTCTCGGACATTTCGGGTATTTTACCGAGATGGAATTTGTCCTTCCACAAATACTTTTGCCCAGTTGTGAATTCTTTGCGTTGAAGTGTTCTAAAAATTTTTTTTACAACGTAAATATATTTTACAAACTGTTAAATTCAAATCATCTGTACTTGAAGAACATTATGCTAGATCATTTGTCTCCAGTGCAAGTGATATTATGAAAAGATACGATAACTTACATATGCAATCATGCAAGGTGGCCTTAAATATGAGATTTTCAAGCTAATTAAATTGCTCTACGATATACATGTTTGTGCACAATTCCTCTAGCCTAACACTAGCTGGGCTATTTAAAAAAGAATGAATAGTCTTTCAGTTGGGAAAGAGATAGCCTTAATCAATAAATGAAAGAAAGGAAGGCCTAGTGGGTATGGTTATTTTTCTATCACAATTCAAATACTTTTAATCATGTCTCGATAATTCTAATCATGAAGTGTGTCGTTATTTGCAGTATTTTTTGACTCCAAAAAAAAAATTTCCGTTTATCTTACATTTTTAGTTCGTATCGCTTCTACAATGGCCCACATAGAACATTAAAGTTATCTCATTAGTAAGTTTATTAATAAATGGAAAGTTCACGCTAAATTTTTACTTTTCATACTTTTAAATTCAACTAAAAGGGTTCGTTTAAAAGTGTTATAGTAAGTTTCTTATTCTTTTCAAGTTTTATTACTTCACTCTTTCGTTTTATTGTCAAATCTGTCCAACTATCTAGAAGTTTGAAATTTTAAACAAAAACTGCCCAGCAAATACATAAAGTATGAGGCCCTCCCTGCGTCAGTTGAATAAATGTGATGAATTTGTAAGTGCAATAATGGTCTTATTCTGGCAGAATTGAAGTACGGCGAACGTTTATTTGTATTTAACATAAGAGGCAGCCGAGCCAGAGCATTTTCAGCTATGGCTTAGAGTAGTACATGCGCCTGCCTTCTGTTGTTATTATCGAGTTTGCAGTTTACGGACAAGAATAAAATGACAAAGAGCCTAGAAAGCCAAATGATGAATGTTTTCCTCTTGTGTTTTTATCATTTTTACCCTAGCCCTATATAGAAAGAGGGCCCTTAGAATCTAACAAAATGATGATATTAGTAGCAAGCTATCCATCCATAAGTCCAACCTTTTCCAACTTTCTGTCTATATTTGCTTCATTGTTGTTTAACTAACCTTTTCCATTCATACATCAGAAATGCTTCGCTTCTTTTTTTGATAAGCATTTCATCAACCTATTTTTAATCATCTTTTCGTGATTGATGGCTAATATGAAATTGCAACTAGGCTAATCATTCCAAATGGATAGCTTCGCTTTTTTGAATTCCCTATGGAATTTTGAATTTTATTTCTTCCATTTCTCAAATTAGGCCATTCGAATGGATATTTTATCTTGTTTTTTTTGTGTGCCACAAGTTGGCGATCGGTTCTGAAGATTATCAGCACTGTTCGCTTTTCGAGAGTAATCATTTTCACACTCTTTTTCGGTTTTTTGTTCGGCCAGTCAAGATATTATGATGAAGATGAGGATATTCAACTTTTAAAGGATTTATCAAGTTTGTAAAATCATGTATTACCTGAAGAAATGATGTCATGAGGAGTGAGAAAGTGATTTATGAAAAAGCCGATATTTCAGTCCTTCTTTTGCACTAATCTGACAAATGATTCTGACAAATGAATTCTATTCTGACAAATGAAGCAAGTACCAAACTACACATAACTCATATTTTCCAGTTCACGACTTTTTCAACTTCATCACTCATTATTGCTTGACTTTCATCTTCTATATAAAAATGATACTAAATCAACAGCAACTTTTCTCTTTTGCATTTCCTTAAATCTCATTGTGTCACTTTTTCATTACCATTTTTGGATTATATCAATCATATCAAAGATAATTCATCACCCAAATGTCACCCATCTGTCTGAACATAGCAGATTTTCTCGTCAGTTACTATTGATAAATAATAGAATATTTTTGAGCGATGTATCTTATCTGAAAAGGAATGAAATTGGAAAGCATTTTAACAGAAACACTCGAAAGCACAGTTTCAAAATTTCCTCAATTCCATAAAATTTTTCTAATTGACCATTGAAAAAGTATTAATGGAGCCGAGCCTTGGGTCCACCAAAACACTTCCTCACCGATTTAAATCAATGGCCTACCAGATATCCATCTAGGCCCTTCTAACACACAAGAAATTTTCATTCAAGCAGAAAACGGCAATCACAAATAGTCTGTTTAGAATGCCTGTAAAAATATACCGTAAAAGAAATCAACTTTATCATTAAAATTTTTAAAAATATTTCTGAAATCGATAATTTTCTACATAATTTTTTTCACTCAACATAAAATCACTTTATTATTTAGTTCAGTACAGTTGACCCGTAGAATGACTCTTAATCAGAAAAATGTTTTTGTCCTTGTGATATGATCTAATGGATGTATGGGATTGTTTGCATGAAATACCTTTTTATTCGATATGTGTTACCATATCCAACTAATATCAAAAATACCGTACTAGAAATTTAAATTGATATTTAATAGTTAGAAGAAATCAAATTACTTGTTCAAATTGATATTTAATAGTTAAAAGAAGTCAAATTACTTGTTTATATTGATATTTAATAGTTAGAAGAAATCAAATTACTTCTAATTTCCAATTCGGCAATGGAAGAATTCTTTTCATTCGTAATTATTACTTCGCAATACAATTATGTATTGGAAAAAATGGTAGAAAAATACTTATTAATCGATTCAATCCAATACAATTCCCTAACAGGAAAGGTGAGCAGAAAAATGCAATATGATGTGATGTAAAAAGTTCAGTATCTGATAATTTATTCAACAGATAGATAGTAGCTGATAAAATCAGGGATAATGAATGTAAAATGATTATGGCAAAAGATATCATATCATCTAGTCGTTCTCGTCATTTTTTTTAAATGAAAAAGAAGCTTTTGATGACTTTGTTCTTTGATCTTGCGAAAGTTGTTGTGAATGGAAAAAGTTTATCTTTCTTTTGGCTAACGAAATTTTCGTTTGTTTTGTCGTTTTCTTCCTTCTGCATAAGAGTGGATAGAATTGAACGGGCGGAAATAAATGTTTATTTGGCTAAATTAGACTGTTTAGCTAAGTTATAGCGGAATATTATCTTGGAAAATTCATTAGGAAAATCAAAATATTGGACAAACTTAGACAACTAAAACAATGCAATGCAGAAGAAACAATTAATTAGGCTATTTGCTAGCTAAAACTTCTTCCCTTTTTCCCAACTTTCAAGTGATATATCAATTAATGCGTTGCTTGCTACTTGACAACAAGCTTGCCAATCGATTTATAATCCTCGACATGTGACAAATAGTAAAGAAATTAGACAATTTTACGTAAGAACGACAACGAAAATTTTTAGGGGATTTAATTTAACATTATATTTAAATTTAAAGAGATTGCGTACAACTTTTGCTTCCATCTTTATTTTTACCAATCGTTGATCATTTCGGATTTGATAAATTTCATAGGATTAAATAGATTCTCTACTGCAATTCTTCGATTGGAAGCGTAATTTTTGACAAATTATTGATAAAGAACGCAATTTGTTGAGAATATATAAACAGTTAATGAAGTATATCATGTGTTTTGTTCATAAGTTATTCGGAATTTTTCTCTAAACTTTAATAAATACTTATTGCTGGTTGACTTTCATTTTTGCCATTTTCTTCATCATCATCCTCTGCATCTCTTTTGTTTGTGACTAATTGATGAAAATGGGAATTCATTACCATTTCAAGTTTTCCTGAAATAATTTTATTGATTTGGACGCTTTAAATTTAATCCAAACAGTTAAATGTAAATTTGTTCCTTCACAGACCATTTTTTCAATATTTTTCCTCAATATTTTAATTCTAATTGTATGGGATATTTTATCGTTTTATTCTGTGAAAAAATTAATACATTTAAATTAGAAATAGTGGAATCCATGCATTCAGTAACACTTTAAATTAATTAGTTGTCGTATATAATTGATATGCCAACGGTTAAGACTTGCGATAACGTATAAAACCGTTGACCAAGAAATTGTAACAATTTGATAAAGATTGGACTTTCTGCCTTGTTATTGACACTGATTTCAGATTCCTATCATCTATCATTAAGTCCCATTCCTCAGGATTTCATATGTTGTTGCGAATTTGAAGCTTTAATTGTTACTGCTGATACATAAATTAATTAAATAATTAACTTAAAATAGACTTTATTCCAAAATTTATGCAAATCATATAATATTGAAAAGATTAAAACTATATCTCCAAGCAATTGTTCATTGCTAAGTATATGAGATTGCAACAAATACGACAACAAAGTTGTTGTATTTTAATTTCTGGTGCTTTTTCAAATTATTTGCATTTGTGATTCAGAAAAAAAAGCAATCTTCACTATAGTACTTACGTGAGAATTTCAAGGAATCATTTAGAAATTGAAATTGCTTTTCCTATCGCAACTTTTTGATGAAATGCGGAATTGTCATTAAATGTGACTAAACATTACCCTGTGAATATTTTTGAAGATATATTCAGGCGGAAAAGTGCATTATAATTGATTGGCTTTTATAAACATGTATGGAAGAGGATTTAATGAAGCTAGAAAATGAGACTGAGTTGATTGCTACCCATTCATATACCATTTAAAATATCAAAGTTAAAATAAAAAAGACACTCTTATCCCGTGCTATTTCTAATCTATTCCTAATCTTTTTATCTATCTAATACTTCTAAGATATTCCATTCTGTTTCACAATAGGTCTTTAGTTCATTCTTTATCATTGATTCCGTAAAAATCGGCCTCATTCAAGTAACAGTTAGCTGAATTCGTACAACGTTCATTGTCATTTTAACCAGAATGGTTGGGAATTCATGTCATTTAAGCTGTCCCATACCAGTTAGAAGATTCAAAGTTCGATGCAAAAAGAAATACAAGTTTTGGAAGATCCTTAGAAATTGATGAATTAAAAAAGTTGCAATAAAGCAGTCTAGAATAAGAGCAAATTGCTTCATAAGATGCAATTAAATAGAAATACTGTGTGGACAATGGTATCCTGAAACTTTTCATCACATGCATCATACATTAGCTTCCGGATCCGGTATTATATGACTGACCTTTTAACTAACAATATATCTCTTAATCAGGCAAGTTAATTGTACTAGCCAAAATCTCGAAGTATTCAGGGGTCGCCACAACGGTCAATTAAAAAGAAAAAATGAGCTTATTCATTTCATCATATTCGAAATATTTTATGTCTGCTTTCAATAATTAATATTATATTTAATGCAATTATCTCTATCTTAATACATTTCTCTCATTATCTTCGTGCAATTGTCTCTATCTTAATACATTTCTCTCATTCATTATCTTTATGCAATTATCTCTCATCATATAGCCGTCAATTATTCCAAAATAATTAATAAATCCATCAAGAAGTCCTTAGCTACATTTGATTGCGAAATACTGATAAGATAGAATAGAATTGAATGAGATATTTAGCTTCAGACATTTTGACTTTCATTCATTATCGTTTAATGATATGTTATTAGGAAGATAACGCTTGTTTTGAACATTTCTCAATAACAATAACTATCTTAAAATACTCTTTTCTTTTCAACTACAATTTTTTGATGCATTCATGTTTCTTTTCTTCTTGTCTAGCTAGAGAGAGAGAGAGAGAGAGAGAGAGAGAGAGAAGAGAAGATAGGAGAGAA